AATATGGCCTCTCCCCGGTGTGCGTCCTGCGATGAATGGCAAGGCCGGAGGCATGACTGTATGCCTTTCCACACTCGGAGCACCTGTGAGGCTTCTGGCCGCTGTGCACTGTCTGGTGTGCAGTCAGGTTGCCATGTGTGCTGAAGGCCTTGCTGCACAAGCCACAGGCATACGGCCTCTCCCCAGTGTGTGTCCTGTTGTGGCGCACAAGGCCAGATTTTCGTGTGAACGCCTTCCCGCACCTGGCACAACAGTACAGCCTCTCTCCGGCGTGTGTCCTCCTGTGCACGGCGAGGCTGGAGCCCTGGCTGACTGCCTTCCCACACTCAGTGCAGCGGTGCGGCTTCACCTCAGTGTGCAGGACCTGGTGCTTGGTAAGGCCAGAGCGCACAACAAAAGCCTCGCTGCAATTTCCACATGGGCAAGGTCTCTCCCCAGCGTGGCTCCTACAGTGAACAGTGAGGCTGGACAGCTGGTTGAACACCTTCCCGCACACTGGGCAGCGGTGTGGCTTCACGCCACTATGGTGTTGTTCATGAACCAAGAGATTAGAAAGCTTGGAGAAACCATTCCCACACATTCCACACTGGTAATGCTTCATGCCTCTGTGGCACTGCACATGAACCAAGAGACAGGACCGTGTGGAGAAAGCCTTCCCGCACTCAGTACAGTGGTGGAGCTTCTCCCCAGTGCGGCTCTGCCGGTGATGCACCAGGGACAAGCGGTAGCTGCACGTCTTCTCACCCTCTCGGCACTTGTAAGGCTTTTCCTGAATGTGTGCTTTGGGTTTACGTGTGCATAAGGGAGAACATATCGGAGCATCATCACATGCATGGGCAATGTGTGTGTTCCCACTGGAGGGGCTCTCCTGAGAGCGCGACATGGGGACCCCCTCGAGGGTGGATGTCTCCACCTTAGTCCTCACCCTTGGCCCTTCACACAGGTATGGCGGGAGCCCACGCAGGGGCTCCTGAAGGGGCCGTCTCAGCCACGGGCTCGTGGGCTGCTTCCTCGCATGACCCCCACCCTCCTGCTTTCCTCCGCCACTGCCCTCTTCTCTGTGGACCACAAGCACCCCTTTAGCACGGCCTTCAGTGCTGCTCCACTCCCACTCCCACTCACGCAGAGCTTTCTGGACTTCCTCGCAGGAAAACTCATCAGTGCCTCCGTCCTCATGACTTTGGGTTATTTCTCCCCTACAGCTGCCCGCATGGGGTGGTAATTCTTTAATTATATGCTTAGAAGAGGTACCTGGAAGATATAAAGTTCCATGCTGATTAATCACATAGCTAAGTATTTCATGCTAAAGGAGAGAATGCTACAGAAAAAATTACACAGGCACAGAGGAGCCATGTGAACTCTGAGCACAGAAAATCCAGTATGTAGGAACACAAAAGGAATAAGATTCTTTATTATAAATGGATCATATGGAATCTACCTTACGAGAAGGTAAGCCTCATTTCAAACAACCTATGAGGAAAGCAAATCTCACTGACAGGAACACAGGACTTTCCCCTGGGTCCTACTGCATACTTAACTCACAAAAGCCCTACGGTGATATTGTAACCAAAGGGAAAAAATGCCTATTACAACATACTGAATATGTACAAATTTATGCCACATATCATATAATATGTTGTAATGGTTCAGAGCCCAAAGCAGTTTACAGAATAACTGGCAAGTTTGAATTTCAAAGCAGGGTGAAGAATTGCAATACAATTTCAAAAAAGGGAGGAATTCAATACAATGCCAGAAAAGAAACCAAAACCAAAAAAAGCCTGGACTACGTGCTATAAACAGCCTACATATATTAGTAGTGAACAGACATTTAAAATGAACAAGAGGTATCTAGCACTTATGTTGCAAAATACATGCTGAGTACATTTAGATGCTGGTAACAAAACATACAAACAAAAAAGTAACCCATAGCTGGGCACCGATGGCTCACACCTGTAATCCTAGCTACTCAGGAGGCTGAGATCTGAGGATCGAGGTTCAAAGCCAGCCTGGGCAGGAAAGTCTGTGAAACTCTTATCTCCAATAAACCACTAGAAAATCGGAAGTGGCGCTGTAGCTCAAGTTGTAGAGCTCTTACCTTGAGCTGAAGAGCTGAGGGACAGCGCTCAGGCCCAGAGTTCAAGCCCCACAACCAAAAAAAAAAGTAACCCATGATAAACTGATGGGCTATTTCCTCTTTTTTTTGGGGGGGGTTTCCGGTCATGGGGCCTGAACTCTGGGCCTGGGCACTGTCCCTCAGCTCTTCAGCTCAAGGCTAGTGCTCTACCACTTGAGCCACAGCGCCACTTCCGGCTTTTTTCATTTTGCTTATGTAGTGCTGAGGAATCAAACCCAAGGCCTCAGGCATGCAAGGCAAGCGCTCTGCCACTGAGCCACCTTCCCAGCCCGAGCTATTTCCTCTTAAAAAAAAATACAGGGGGGAGGATGGGAAGGGAGAGGAAGGGGAAACAGAGGAGGAGGCTACAATGCTTGATAAGAAATATATTCATTATCTTGCCCATGTAATTGTAACCCCTCTGTACAATATTTTCACAATAAAAAAAAATACAGGGCTGGGAAGGTGGCTCAGTGATAGAGTGCATGCCTTGCATGCATGAGGCACTGTGTTCAATTCCTCAGTACCACATAAGCAGAAAAAGCTAGAAGTGGCGCTGTGGCTCAAGTGGTAAAGAGCTAGCCTTGAGCTGAAGAGCTCCAGGACAGCGACAGGCCCAGAGTTTACATCCCACAACCAACCTCCCCCCCCCAGCCAAAAAAAATGAGGCAGGCCACTGGTATTTCAGGCCTGTAATCCTAGCTAGTCAGGAGGCTGAGATCTGAGGATCACGGTTCAAAGCCAGCCCAGGCAGGAAAGTCTGTGAGACTCTTATCTCCAATTAATCTCCAGAAAACTAGAAGTGGCATTGTGGCTCAAGTGGTAGAGCACTTGTCTTGAGCTGAAGAGCTGAAGGACAGTGCCCAGGCCCAGAGATCAAGCCCCATGACAAAAAAAAAAATTTAAAAAAATGTGTTGTAGAAAAAGCAATAAATACAACAAGTGGAATGTCCACACAGCTCTAGGTGTGGATCTGAAGGAAAGAGATGCAAGGGTACTGCACACCCACCATTAGCTGGAGAGCCAGCCTAGAGTGCTTCAATGAACACAGGAAATGCAGTGGAGACACAGAGTGGCATATTACTCTGCATAACAGGGCACAAGTGTGGAAATTCTAAAGTCCTTTAGGGCTCACAGTAGAGACAATTTAGTTTTCTACAGAAAACCACTCCCACCCAGGTTCCCCAGCTACATCTCTGTACATCTGAGCTCTTACCTGCACTCACACCTTTGGCACCTTTCCAACCATTCAGCTCTCCTGGAGTTGTCACGTGGCTCTGTGCCACCCAGGGCTCTTCCTCGAGCTCCAATGGCAAAATTACACTCACGCTGGGAGGAGAGACTCCTGTTTATAGAAAGACAATGTGCTGTGGCCTTTCTGGAATCCCCAGTCCCACGATTATGGGAAAAGGGGACATCACACATGGATGCATCACACATTCAGCAGACTACCTCCATGTGAACACTTCAGAGGACACTCTAATGTGCAGACAGCAACGCAAGAACTACTGAGTCAGAAGCACAAGGAAATAGATACAAAGTCAGCTCTGGGCTTCGTGTGGTGTCATCTGTGTGTCATCCCAGCACTCAGAAGTTCAGGGGCAAGTTTAAGGGCATCCAGGGCTACAAAGTGGGACTTTTTCTCAAAAAAAAAATGATGAGGAAGAGGAAGAGAAGGTAGAGGAGAAGAAAGGAAGGAAGGAAGGAAGGAAGGACTGCCATAGTGCTTGATATGTAGCTCAGTGATGAGAGGATCTGCCTAACATGTACAAAGCTCTAGAGAGGGAAGGGAAGGGAAAAGGAGAAGAGTGGAGAAAAGAAGGGAAAAAGGTGAGGGGCAAAAAAGAACAAAGGAGAGCAACAGACAAGCCTGCAAAAGCTGACATGCACAGGTGCTCACTTAAGCTGTGAGACATAGGAGGCAGGACAAAAGAAGGTTATTAAAGTCCGGAGGCCACATTAGCATGTTTCTGTCCCGGAGTTGGTGGAGCTTATGTCTAGTCAAGGAATGTTGGGCTCTCTAGGCAGCACTCAAGGGAAACCAAGGCCAAGAGCAGAACTCCCAACTTGTGCAGGGAGGGGTGCTCACCCACAGAGACCAGGTTCCTGTAGGTGTCCAGCATGACGTCCCTGTACAGAGCGCGCTGAGCCGGGGTCAGGCACCGCCACTCCCCCCGGGTGAAATCCACTGCCACATCCTCAAGTGTCAACTGTTCACAAGGAGAAAATCCAAAAGCATTTCACACACAATCCGCAGACTCAGAAAAAGTATTAGACAGAATTATAATCAATGCATACCATGACAAAGCAATCAACACACCAGAGAAACTTCAGGATTTTACTGTTTGAAAAGTTTCTTTGATATGACACCCAAAGCAAAAACAAAAAACAAAAAAAACCGACATGGAATTGTACATCCCAGCATTCTTCAGAGTTAGTGGGGAAGTATGATAAACATGCCTAGAATCCTAACCAGTCCAGAAGCCTGAGATCTTAGGATCAGGGTTCAAAGCCAACTGGATGGAGCAGGAAAGCCCATGAGCATCTTTCCTCCAATAAACTACCAAAAAGGCCAGAAGTGGAGCTGTGACTCAAGTGGTAGAGCAGCAGCCTTGAGCAAAAGAGCTCAGGACAGCACCCAGGCCCTGAATTCAAGATGCAGGACTGGGTGCTTGGTGGGGAGGGAGACCAAAGCTGAAAAGAAAACCAGCAGAGAGATTTCAGCAAGAACACTTGGTGGGTGATGCTCTCCTGTGCCCACACCCAGTGGAGGGGACAGAGCTGAGGGAAGGTGTGGGGGATGTGAACACACGTGGCAGGCAGGTGTCAGCACAGCCAGTGCCCAGGCCAGCTCTTTGCACAGGAAGGAGACGCCACATGGTTTTACCTGAGTCACAGCCGCCATCCCTGTTCCTTGTCTTTCCTCTTCCTCCTCCCTGGGCTTCCTCCTCAGGCAATACCACTTTCCAGAAGTCAGTCCTGAGTGCTGAAAATATCCTGTTTAATGCTCACATACAACAACACCCTCCCTGTGTCCCGGCCCCAGCCCAGGGAGGACCTCACCATGGGGGAAGATGGTCCTGGGTTCATTCCATACCACTCATGGGGTGATGGGGAATGCAGGTCCTGGGGCTTGAACTCAAGACCTGGGCACTGTGCCTGAGCTTGTTTACTCAAGGCTGGTGCTCTACCACTTGAGCCACAGCCCCACTCTGGCTTTTTGGTGGTTAATTGGAGCTAAGATTCTCCTGGAGCGGTTGGTCGTGTGGAGGGGTTGAAGCACCAAAGCTACCGAGCAAAAAAGCATCAGATACCAGGTTTGAGTCCCAGTCTGTGGCCTAAAAACAACAGCAACATATGTATGGGACTTTCCTACCCAGGCTGACTTCAAACCTCCATCCTCACACCTCAGCCTCCTGAGTGGCTAGGCTTACAACCATGGACCCTGCTCCCTCTACTCTCCTTGTAAGCAGAGATCCCTCTTTCCCAAGGACCAAATGGCTCTGCACAAATGCAAATTGTTCTCCTCTCCTTTCATTCGGAAGTGCTCCCACATTTCCTGTACCCCGCCACCTATGTGGGAATTCGGGGCTGGAGGGCCGCGGCTGGGGCCGGGAATCGTGGCCTTTGTCCGGACGACTTGGCCTAGCGCCCGGAGGCCGGAGAGGCGGATCGGGTCCCAGACCCCAAGCCGGGCCCGGAGGACCGGGTGGAAGACGATGCCAGGGGCCGGCTGTCCAAGAGCGCTGGGAAGAGCCGCGGCCGCGCCCACCCCGCCACCCTCGCCAGGCTCGCAGCGAAGCGGGGTCGCTGGGGTCCGGGCGCCTCGGCCGCGCCGGGCCGGTGGAGGTCAGGGAGGACCGGCCGGAGACTCAGGCCGCCGGACAGGAGAGCCGCGCGGGGCCTCCGGATACCCGGGACGCAGACTTACTCCTCCCGGAGAGACGCGCAGTCCGCACCGCGAGCTCCCCCTCACGCCAACCGACTGCTGGTCTGGTGGGGAACTGCGCACGCAGTGACAGGGGGCGGGGCAAACACGGAGGGAAACGTGAGCTGGGGGCGGGGCTATAGGGGGAAGGGCCAGGAAGAAACCAATGAAAAAGTGGAACGGGCGTGACCAGAACGAAACTCAGTGTATAGGACCAGTAGTGAGGGTTGGTGGGCGGGGAATAAGACTGGTCTGGGCCAGAGAGAGCTAATAGGTGAGGCCATCCTTGAGTGACAGTGGCAAAGGGAGTGGAGCCAGGGAGACTAGGCCTCTGAGGAGGCTGCCAGGGCAGGCCTGGGGCTGAGGCGGGCCTGGCGCTGGGGGCGGAGTCAGTGTGTGGAGGAAGCCCTGTGCTGGGGGGCCAAGCCGTGCAGAAATGAAATAAAACTCATCTGGATAGAAATCGTCAATTACTCAGTAATTCTTTTCTTTTTAAAAGGTTATTTTATGGACTAAAACATGGATTCTGAATAGAGCAGCAGTAAAGTTTAACAGCAGCAGTTCTGTATAACCATCCTCAAGAAAATGCTATTCTGCTCGTGCGTGTCCTGAGGTTTAATCTCAAGAGTTTGGCAGCTGCTGGGAAAGTCTTTAACACTGAGTGACCTACGGCTGAGCCACCTTCCCAGCCCCCGTGGAGAATAAGTCTAACGGCCACGCGTGAATGGCTCACACCTTGCTGCCGTCTGGCGGGGCTTCTTTTGGGTGTGAAGCCTGCGTGCAATGGCACGTGAAGCTGGAGCGCCGGCTGCACACCATGCCGTATATGTCACACTCGTACGGGCCCTTGCCGATGTGTGTCTGTTGGTGGCGCACAAGTTTTGTCTTCCAGAAAAATGCCTTCCCACACTCTGTGCACTTGTGGGGCTTGTGTCCTGTGTGGATGGCAAGGTGGCTGTGGCATTCTGTGTGGGACTTAAAGGCTTTCCCGCACTCATGGCACACAAATGGACTCTCCCCGGTGTGTGTCCTGTGGTGGCACGCGAGGTCATTTTTCTGTGGGAATGCCTTCCCGTACTGGGTGCAGCGGTGTGGCTTCTCCCCGGTGTGCGTCCTGTGGTACAGGAGTAGGGCACCAGTGTAGCCAAACACCTTCCCACAATCCTCACACTTATGTGGCTTGCATCCAGTGTGAACAGCCTGGTGTGCTTCAAGGCAGCCACACGTGCTGAAGGCCTTGCCACACACGCACTCCAGCATGTCCCCAGTGCATCCTGTTGTGCCTGAATGCCTTCCCGCACTTGGCGCACCTGTGGCGCTTGAGGCCAGTGTGCACAGCCTGGTGTGCTATGAGGGTGGCATGCTTGTGGAAGGCCTTGCCATACTTTTCACATGCATATGGCTTCTCCCCAGTGTGCAGCCTGCGGTGCACAGTGAGCTGCTTGGACTTCTGGAATGCCTTTCTGCACTCAGAATGCAGGTAGGGCTTCTTGCCACTATGGCTTCACTTGTGAACCATGGGAGAGGAATGTGAGGAGAAAGCCTTCCCACACTCTGCACAGGGTTGGCACTTCACACCACTATGGTTTCGCTCATGAACCAAGAGAGGAGAACGTGTGGAGAAAGCCTTCCCACATGTGGCACAGAGGTGCAGATTCTCCCTGGTGTGGCTCAACTGGTGATGCTCTAGGGCCACGGGGTAGCTGAATGCCTTGCCACACTCCCCGCACTCATAACACTTCACCCCAATGTGTGCGTTGGGTCTATGCCTGAGTAACAGAGAATAGGTGGAGGCCTCATCACCTGCGGGGACAATGTGTGTGTTCCCACTGGAGGGACTCCCCCAAGGGCGTGACATGGGGGGCCTGGCAAGGGCGGACGTCTCCACCTCAGTCCTCACCCCTGGCCCTTCACACAGGTACGGCGGGAGCCTGCACAGGGGCTCCTGGAGGGGCCATCCCAGCCACAGGCTCATGTGTTGCTTCCCCACGTGACTCCCACCCTCCTGCTTTCCTCCGCCACTGCCCTCTTCTCTGTGGACCATAAGCACCCATTTAGCACAGCCTTCAGCGCTGCTCCACTCCCACTCCCACTCACGTGGAGCTTTCTAGACTTACTTGCAGGAAAACTCGTCAGTGCCTATGTCCTCATGACTTTGGGGTATTTCTGCCTTACCACTGCCTCTGCTGGGTGGTAATTCTTTAATTATATATCTAGGAGAGGTACCTGCAAGATATAGAGTTCCCATCTGATTAATCATAGAGTATTTCATGCTGGAAAACAGAATGCCATGGCAAAAATGACCACACACACACACACACACACACACACACACACACACACACACACTGAGTAGTCCTATTTATACTGGGAAACATAAAAAATCCAATATTTAGGAACACAAAAAGAATAGGATTCTTTTATTGCAAAGTGGATCACATGGAATCCAATTTAAGCTAAGCCTCATTTCAAACAACCTGTGAGAAATACATGCATACTCAGCAAGTTGGTGGACAGGAAGACAGGATTCCCCCCGACCCTCTCCGTGACAGAGTCTCATAGTAAACCTAACTTACAAAAGCCATATGGTTATATCATAACCACAGATGAAAAAATACCTGTTTACAACATACTGACTATGTATAATTAATGCTATATATCACACAATGTGTTATGATGGTTCAGGACCCAAAAGCAGTTACAAAAGGCATTAACTGGCAATTTTCAATTGCAAAGCAGAGGCTGGGGAAAAAGAGGAAGAATTCAATATAAGAATGCCAGAATAAGCCGGGCGCTGGTGGCTCACGCCTGTAATCCTAGCTACTCAGGAGGCTGAGATCTGAGGATCGCGGTTCAAAGCCAGCCTGGGCAGGAGAGACCGTGAGACTCCTATCTCCAATAAACCACCAGAAAACCGGAAGTGGCGCTGTAGCTCAAGTGGTAGAGCGCTCGCCTTGAGCTGAAGAGCTGAAGGACAGCGCCCAGGCCCAGAGTTCAAGCCCCACGACCGACAAAAAAAAAAGAATGCCAGAGGAGGGCTAGGAAGGTGGCTCAGTGGTAGCGCTTGCCTTGCATGCTCGAGGCCCTGGGTTCGATTCCTCAGCACCACATAAGCAGGAAAAAAAAAAGCCGAAAGTGGCGATTTCACTCAAGTGGTAGAGTGCTAGCCTTGAGCTGAAGAGATGAGGGACAGTGCCCAGGCCCAGAGTTCAGGCCCCACAACCAGACCCAAAAAAAAAAGAATGACAGAAGCTGGGTGTGGTGGCTCATGCCTGTTATCCTAGCTATTCAAGAGACTGATATCAGAGGACCACCATTAAAAGCCAACCTGGCCAGAAAAGTCCACGAGACTCTTATCCCCAATAAACCACTCAGAAAACCGGAAGTGGTGCTGTGGCTCAAGTGGTAGAGTGCTCACCTTGAGCTAAAGAGCTCAGGGACAGCACCCAAGCTCAGAGTTCAAACCCCATGACTGATTAAAAAGAAAAAGAAAAGAAAAAGCTGGGCACTGGTGGCTCATGCCTGTAATCCTAGCTACTCAGGAGGCTGAGATCTGAGGATCACGGTTCAAAGCCAGCCTGGGCAGGAAAGTCCGTGAGACCCTTATCTCCAATTAAGCACTAGAACACCGGAAGTGGCACTGTTGCTCCAGTGGTAGAGCGCTCGCCTTTAGCTGAAGAGCTGAGGGACAGCGGCCAGGCCCAGAGTTCAAGCCTCACGACCGACAAAAAAGAAAAAAAACACACACCTGGAATATGTGCTATAAACTGCCTTCACCCCGCTCACAGCAAATAGATTTTAACATGAACAAGAGATGTCTAGCACTTAAACTGCACAATCCATGCTGGTTAAGATGATATTCAAGCTAATGAAAAATGAAGAGTAACCCATGATAAAACAAACAAGTAATTTCCTCTTTAAAAAGAAACAAACAAAAAGAAATTGTGTTGCAGAAAAATAACAATATATAAGTGGAATATCCCACCATCTAGCTCTAGGTGTGCATCTGAAGGAAATGAAGTCAGCATATAAAAGACACGGCTGGGGCTAGGTGCTGGGGGCTGAGGAGGCTGAGGCTCTGAGGATCATGGTTCAAAGCTAGCACAGGAAGGAAAGTCTGTGAAACTCTTATCTTTAATAAACTACTCAGAAGAGACACTGGGGTACTGCACACCCACCATTAGCTGGAGAGCCAGCCTAGAGTACTTCAATGGACACAGGGAATACAGTGGAGACACAGAATGGCATATTACTCTGCAGGACAGGGAACAAGTGGGGACATTCTAAAGTCCTTAGGACTCACAGCAGTGACACTTTAGTTTTCCTACAGAAACTCGTGCCCAGGTTCCCCTGCTCCATCTCTGCACACCTGAGCTCTTACCTGATCTCACACCTTTGGCTCGTTCCCAACCATTCAGCTCTCCTAGAAGTGTCATGTGGCTCTGTGCCACCCAGGGCTCTTTCCTGAGCTCCAACAGTGAAAGCACACTCAACGCTGGAAGGGAAGACTCCTGTTTATAGAAAGACAATGCACTGCGAGGTGCCGTGGCTCATGCTTGTAATCCTAGCTATTCAGGAGGCTGAGATCTGAGGATCACGGTTCAAAGCCAGCCTGGGCAGGAAAGTCCGTGAGACTCTTATCACCAATAAAGCACTAGAAAACCGGAAGTGCTACTGTGGCTCAAGTGGTAGAGCGCTCGCCTTGAGCTGAAGAGCGCAAGGACAGCGCCCAAGCCCAGCGTTCAAGCCCCATGACTGACAAAAAAGAAAAAGAAAGAAAGACAATGCTCTGTGGCCTTTCCGGAATCCCCAGTCCCACGCTTACAGGGAAAAAGGGACATCACACATGGACGCAAAGGATAGTTCACACATTCATCATACTGCCTCCATCTGAACACTTCAGAGGACACTCTAATGTGCAGACAGCAACACAAGAACTACCCAGTCAGAAGGATGAGGAAATGATACAAAGACTGCCATGAGCTGAGTGTGGTGTCATCTCTGTGTAATCCTAGCACTCAGAGGATCAATGGCAAGTTCAAGGCCAGTCAGTGCTACAAAGTGGGACCTTTTCTCAGAAAAAAAAAAGTGGGGAGGAGGAGGAAAAGGAGGAAGAAGAAAGGAAGAGAGGCAGAGACACCTGAAAGGAGGAAGAAGGAAAGAAAGAAAGAAGGAAGGAAGGAAGGCAGGCAGGCAAGAAGGGAGGAAGGAAGGATGGAGAGAGGGATGGAAGGAGGTCTTCCATAGTACCTGCCTATCAGGTACAAAGCTCTAGAGAGGAAAGGGAAAGGAAAGGGAGAAGAATAGAGAAAGGAAGGGAAGAAGAGGAAGGGAAAAAAGGAACAAAGGAGAAAGGGAGACAAGCCTGCCATAGCTGACATGCAAACTCACTTAAAACTGTGGGACACAGAAGTGCTCCATCGGAGCAGGACAAAGGATGGGTGTGAAAGTACTGAGGCCATGTTATTATGTTTCTGTCTCTGAATCCATAGACCCTTTACATCTAGTCATGGAACTTGGAGCTCTCCAGGCATTTACGGGAAACCAAAACCAAGAGTAAAACTCCAATTTATGCAGGGAGGGGGTGCTCACCCAAGGAGACCAGGTTCCCAAAGGTGTCCAGCATGACATCCCTGTACAGAGCACACTGAGCCGGGGTCAGGCACCGCCACCTCTCCCGGGTGAAATCCACCACCATGTCCTCAGATGCCAACTGTCCTGAAGGAAAAATCCAAAAGCATTTCACACACATACACATCCATGGACTCAGAAAAAGGATTACATGGAATTATAATCTGATGCCTACCATGACAAAGCAATCAACATGCCAGGGATAGGGAAAAACTTCAAGATTTTACAGTTTATAATGGTGTCTTTGGTTTGACATGGAAAGAAGGGAGGAAAAGAAGGAGAATGGGACTGCCCTAGTGCTTGAGATGGCACACAATGATAAGCTACATGAAATTGCACATCTAGGCATTCTTCTGAGGAAGTGAGGAAGTATGATCGTGTTAAAAAGAACACAGCCAGGGAAGGTGGCTCAGTGGTAAAGCGCTTGCCTTGCATGCATGAGGCCCTGGGTTTGATTCCTTAGCACTACATAAGCAAAAAGAAAAAAGTCGGAAGTGGAGCTGTGGCTCAAGTGGTAGAGCGCTAGCCTTGAGCTGAAGAGCTGAGGGACAGCGCCCAGGCTGAATTCAAGCCCCAAGACCAGACCAAAAAAAAAAGAAGAACACAGCCAGGCACCAGGGCCCACATCTGGAATCTTAGCCATTCAGGATGCTGAGATCACCCAGGTCCTGAAATCAAGCCCCAGGACTGCGGAGGAAATAAAAGAGAAAACCCAAAGCCGAAAAGAAAACCAGCAGAGAGGTTTCAGCAAGGACACTGGAACTCTTGGTGGGCATGTGCCCACGCCCAGTGGAGGGGACAGGGCTGAGGGAAGGTGTGGGGGATGTGAACACACACGGCAGGCAGACACCAGCACAGTCAGCACCCAAGGCCAGCTCTGTGCACAGGAAGGAGACACCACACGGCTTTACCTGAGTCACGCCACACGGCTTTACCTGAGTCACAGTCGCCATCCCTGCTCCTTGTCTTTCCTCTTCCTCCTCCCTGGGCTTCCTCCTCAGGTAATATCACTTTCCAGAAGTCAGTCCTGAGTGCTGAAAATATCCTGTTTAATGCTCACACTGAACACACACTCCCTGTGCCCCAGCCCCAGCCCAGGGAGGACCTCACCATGGGGGAAGACGGTTTTGTGCTGCCCACTCATGGGGTGATGAGGAATGCAGGTTCTGAGGCTTAAACTCAGGACCTGGGCACTGTGCCTGAGTTTGTTTCCTCAAGGCTGGTGCTCTACCACTTGAGCCATAGTTCTACTCTGGCTTTTTGGTGGTTAATTGGAGCTAAGATTCCCCTGTGGAGCAGTTGGTCGTGTGGAGGGGTTGAAGCACCAAAGCTACCGAGCAAAAAAGCATCAGATACCAAGTTTGAGTCCCAGTCTGTGGCCTAACAACAACAACAACAAATGTATGGGGCTTTCCTGTTCAGGCTGACTTCAAACCTCCATCCTCACATCTCAGCCTCCTGAGTAGCTAGGCTTACAACCATGGACCCTGCTCCCTCTACTCTCCTTGTAAGCAGAGACACCTCTTTCCCAAGGACCAAATGGCTCTGCACAAATGCAAATTGTTCTCCTCTCCTTCTATTCGGAAGTGCTCTGGGGTTTCCTGCACCCTGCTACTTATGTGATGTTTTGGATCTTTCTGGAGATGAAGTTTTGCCAGTCTCTATTTGCTTTTCTCTTTATTCACGCAACTGATTTTTTGCAAAGCCTGCACCCCATTATCTACTTGCCACCTGCTGTTAGGGCTCTTTTCTCTTCCTGTTTTCCCTACCCCATCACCCCACCTGACCTCTACCCAATCTGATGATCCTTTGCCCTCACTGTAAAATGTGAAATCAGAAACAGAACAAAGTTACAATCCTGAAGCTTATCACCAGCTGTACTGAGTTACCATATTAGTCAGGAGCTTATAATAAAAATCATTTCTGGCCAGGCGCAGGTGGCTCATGCGTGTCATCCTAGCTACTCGGGAGGCTGAGATCTGAGGATCATGGTTCAAAGCCAGCCTGGGTTGCAAAGTCCGTGAGATTCTTATCTCCAATAAACGACCAGAAAACCAGAAGTGGCACTGTGGCTCACCTTGAGCTGAAGAGCTGAGTGAGGGACAGCACCCATAGTTCAAGGCCTAATAACAGAAAAAAAAGATCATTTCTCTAATATAAGACTACCTCTACTCAAGGTTATGTTTTGACTTTTTTTTTTTCTTTGCCAGTCATGGGGCTTGAACTCTGGGCCTGGGAGCTGTCCCACGACCGACAACAACACAAAATCCCCAGGAAAATCAAACTGGGCTGTTCTCCAAAGCTTTGGGAGCTGGAGACAGTCACCACGTGGCTAATAAAAGGCTTCCAGGGAGATAGACTGAGTGCTTCCTCCCATCGTTGGTTCCAATTCCCACGGGCCTAGGAAGTTGGGATACTCCATCACCTACACAAAGCCCCATGTACGTGTCTGGTGTAACAAAGGCAGGCCTCAGGTTCTCCCAAACTGTGGGCTGGCCCAGGAGAGGATGGGGAGGGACGCAGGGCAGGGTAAAGATTGGGGGAGGGGGATGTGGGGGAGTGAAGTAAGCTGAAGTGGGGTGGGGTGAGGTGGGGTGAATGGGGTG